CCTTCTCGCCGAGGCAACGTTGGACACCCCTGATCGAGCCGCACTGGTAGTTGAGCTCCATCTGGTGAGTTGATCTTACAGCCAGAGCCTGTCCACTTCACCTCATAGCCCAGCCTTGTCAATGCTGCCATAGGTATGATCATCTGGACGTCATGGAGTGTCAACAAAGACCCTGTTACCGCGTCTTGTTTCAGTTCTGCGGTTCCCGACGCCAAAGCGACTTGAACTGGTTCTCCAAGATCCCATTCTTCTCGAGATTTGGCCTTTCTCAAAACGTGAGTGGCCCCACCATCGATCAAAACCCTTTGATTCTTGCCCATGTCAATCTTCCGGAGGTTCACCGTCTTGACATGGCGGTATGTTGTTGAGGAGGATTCCGGGGTTTTAAGAGTCTTTATCAACGATGATACCTCAGTCACCAAAGTCGAAGTCTCCCCCGTACCAGCACCTGATGTTCCTTTTGAGTCAGCTGGTACTTCTTTTCCTCCATCAGTTTCAACTTTCTTCACATTCTTTTGATCATCTTTGGATCCTGCTGAGTTGCCCTTCTGGTCATCTCTGTTGGCTTTGCCACTTTTACCCTTGTAGCCGTAGCTTTTTCCACCCTGTTTTCCAGAGCTTTTTCCATCACCACCACCGGCACCACTCCCCCCGGCTGGAGAACCTTTTGAAGCTCCAGTCGTAGTGTTGCTCTTGTCCTCCTTGGTTGGAGAGTTGTATGGGCAATCCGGTTTCTTGTGGGTGGTCGCGCCACAAGTATAGCAGTGGTATTTGCCATCTTCATGCGCTGGATGTTGGAACTTGCATTGTGCTCCTTGTCGACATCCTTGATCTGACTTCCAGAAGCGGCATACAGGTTGTGCTGGACTACCAGCTTTGTTATCTTTCAGGGTTTTCACTGCAGGGCTTCCTTGACCTTTTCCATGCGTTTCTTGACTACCCATGGCAAGTTCAACTTCTGCTAGAAGCATCTGATGAAGTTGCTTGACCGTGGCAGCTGTGGGCTTTGTGTCAACTTGTGCCCCCATTCGAAAAGCACTGAGGCGGAAGTTCGCCTGAGGATTCCCTTGTAACAACTTTGACATGATCTTATCAAGCGCACCTACCATCAATGTAGGGTCTGGAACTGTTGCACCCAGCTCTTCAGCTCGTGAGTGATGCCGCTGCCACATTCTCAAAGATGTGGAAGCTTCCAGGTACGTTCCAGCAGGTTGTGTTGTTGTGAGAGCTTGCAAAGTGTTTTGTCGTTCACCCAAGCCCCCTGGTTGGTAGACCTTCATCACCTTGAAGATGATCTGAGCAGCCCCAAGCTGGCGATTTGCAATCATCTCAGCAGCCAGTGTCTTTGGAAGGGCCTGCATGAGCAAAGACGTCACCCTCTGCTCCAACCTCGTAAACCCTTTTGGCAATTCCTCAACTGTAGGAGGTTGCACATTGAGTCGAGTGATGGGGTCACTTCCCAACCATTGTTGATAACGTTGAGTGGTCATGGTCACCAAAGTATCCCACCACCACATTGCACGGTGACTGACGTCAGCAATTTGTGGACGGATTTGGGCCATCCAGTCACCAGCTTCAAGACCTTGATTTTTTCCTCCCAATTCCGGGAGCTTCGGCAGAGTGATGGTCACCGGCTTGAGCTCTTCCTCACGAGGCCGATCATCTTGAACTCCACCACCCAAGGAACTTCTTGGGTCACCAATTCCACCTCCTTGATGTTGACCTCCCCCTTGACCAAGATTCCCAAACTGGCCTCCTTGATATCCAAGTTGGTTTCCAGCCATAGACGGATCTTGTTGATGAAGATATGGATTCTCACTGTTCACCTGGATCCAGTCGCGCATGTTGACGTCATTGCAAGCTTGACGAAGATGCCATTGAGCTCCCGACGGATCAGAAGTTGGAGGTCCCATTCTTTGGAATGGTTGAGATCCATATGCACCCAAAGGTTCTTGACCAGGAACCCGTCGCATAGTCAAAGCTTCGCGAAGTTCCCTGAGTTCTTGCTCAAGTCGTTGAACCCTTTCCGCTTCGGGATCAGGTACTTGTTGGATTCCTCCTCTTCTGCTATTCCAGAAGCCATGTACCTCTCCATCACCTTGTTGAACACCAACACGTACTGCTTGAGGTCCAAGCCACTTGTTCACCCCCGCTTCATTGTGCTCCTCATACCCCCCAAAAAGCATTGGTGGCACCGGAGGCAATGGCGGCGGCATAGGATCCTTCTCCACCTTGTCAATGGGCGGTGGTCCATCTGGAAGTTGAGTTCCACCAGGAGTGACTTTGGCCACATCTTTGGTCTGGCGGTTTGTAGGTGTTGTTGGAGTCGCCCTTGAAGGAATCGATTCCCAACTCGAAGTATCTAATTCATCACGTTGTTGATCTTGTTGAGCATGTTGACCTTGTTGTCCATGAGAAGAAGGCTGGTTCTTGTCCATCGCATCCAACCTTTTGCGAAGCTCCTCATTTTCTTGCATCAACTGCTGCACCAACAACGAACTCAAATCTTGCTCCAACGTTGAACCTGTCTGGTCTTTCGGTTGGATTTTCTTGGGTTCCGCACGGAGTTCTTTTCCTTGCAGATGATCTTTGGCACGATCTTCACCTCTAGACCTACTTTGATCGTTCCGATGACGGTCTCCAGAAAGTCCACGTGAGTCTCGAGCGTTTCCATGACGACTTCCTCCACGTTGTGGATCTTTCGGACTTTGGGCCCTTCCACGTTGCAGAGCTGAGACATCACCATGTGAACCTCTTAGAACATCACCCAGAAGATCCAGAGAACGTTGCCTTTGTCCAGGAGGTTCCCTTTCCCTTCCGTCTCGATCTTGCCGTAGAGGTCCTTGAGAACGAAGTCTATCACCTTGTCGTTCTCCATGATCGTTTCCCCCTTGACCTTTCCCTCGATGTCCTTCACCACCAAGAGGGCCAAGAAGATCTACTTGAGGAATTCCTGCACATGAGGATTGCTGCGCCAGGTCCTCATCAAAGTCAAAGAGATTGAAGTTCGAAGCTTCTTCCTCCATCCTGAACACCTGAGTGCCCTGTGGTCCTGGAGTGTGAGGCTCCCAGCCGCTAGGTGTCTCAAATGCCACAGCTGGCATTCTGCCTTGACTTCTCAGCAGTCCCCCACCGCTGCCCATCGCTCGAGGAAGCCCCTGCACCGGTCTTGGTGTTTCATCTCCATCCCAATCATCCGCTGGTACTGGAGGTAGGCTTTCTGGAGTTACCCGGACTGGCGGTAGGTTGGCTGGTCTCAGCCTGTCCACCATTGCTGCCTCTTGTACTCCTTGGGACCAAAAAGGGTTCACCGGCTCACCTTCATTCAAGTGAAGACGCCCTTCTCGGTGTCCTGGAACACTTCTACCTCGTCGATGCGCCATGTTTCAGCGACGAGAGGCACGGTTTGGGCTCATAACCTGCTTGCGGAGCAGCGTGAGCACCTGTTTTTCTTGGGCTAAAAGAAGCCTGCAGCAAGAAGTGGTTGTTACTCACTGCAGTCTTAGTTTGTAGTACAGATACTACACTTGTTCATAGCCATAAGGCCTGTTTCTGAAAACCCTTTTGCAGTCTGAAAATAGGGTATATTCCCAATTATAGCCATTTAATAGGGATAATGATCATTAACCATTGGGCAAAAAGGGGTGCACAACATTTTCAGACACACCCATCGACCAACATCATCTACCATGATCTCATGAACCGCAGCATCTTCCAGCATCGCAGCCAGCATCCCAGCCTTGTCAGTGTGATCCAAGTTCAAGTCTAAAAGCTCCCCAGCAGCCTGAGCGGTCCCCTGGACGGGCCCTTAGGTCCCACCTTTCTGCGGAATAGCTGGATCTTCCAATCCCCTGTCTCCAATCCATAGTTGATATGGTTTGAAATGTCGCTTGATTCTTGATGAAAGGGTTTGTTTAAAAATTAATTGACACTCATTAGACTCATCATCCAAGAGGGCAACATGCCAGTCTTGGCCTGTCAGTCTACTGACTTGGGTGGCATCCTATCATGGCTTGGCTGTGGAGAAACGTGCTTTTTTTTGGGTGAAATCAAATGGTGACCCCAAAAACCCTGGCTACCAGTTGTCAATATACTCACTCAGCTTATAATTTTCAGCCCTAATGGCAAGGCAATTGCTGGGACATCAGTGGGACATTGCTGCAGTCGCTTCATCTGCCTCGATAAGTCTCTCGGAGGCTTCATCCGGAGGTCCTGGATCTGGGCGGAGGATGCGTAAGATTCTTGTGTATTACCTGTAAAAAAAGATATTACCACCATGTATACACAAGATATTCTGTAACACTACCATGCATTACATTCCACTGCATACTGCATATTATATATATAATTATACACGTATATAATTATATATATGTGTGTGTATTTTTATAGTGCATATGTCATATGTCTGCAATTGTCTGCATGTATCACCATGCATCTAGCAAAAAGAAGGATTGCAGAAACCATGATAACCCGCTCATATAATTATAGGGAACTTATCAAGATTCACAAACCACTTGCTAAGTATCCGCGGATCTATTGAAGAACACCAAAAACGGACTTAGCAATTGCACTCAAGATCAACTGACCACTTTTGGTTTGATGATACTCTCTGTTTTGCCAGCAAATAACAGCATGTAGTAACAATGTAACTACATTGTAGTATATAGTAACGGCATGTAACGGCTATGGTGACTGAATCTTTCCATGTAGTTACCAGCTACCAAACACCCATAAGTTTCATCTCTCTCTCTCTCTCTCTCTTAGTAATTGTGATTTGGAAAGGGCCGTTTTTATTGCCAAAAAAACAAGCTGCTGGATAACATTAAGCTTGGACCTGCTCCAGAGATAAACGATATTTCCAGAAACGACTCATTTCTGGTGGACTCACCCATCAGAACATCCAAACAAGTCACCGGCCACCAGCAAATCAAATTTCAAACATGATATATATATATAATAGATATATATATATATATATATATATATATCAGATCTGATTAAACATGGTTAACCCCCATTTTTTTCTGGTTCAACCATGTTAAACCCATCATTTTTCGGCCTTCCACTTGCGGATCCAGCGCCACCGGGAAGACCGTCTCGCCCCCGATGACGCCGGCGCCCAAAGTGGAGAGGTAGATGATGGCCTCAGCGATCCCCTGGGTGGGTTGAAAAAACACATGGCTTGACTAAAGAATAGTTTGTTTAATGCCATTAGGCCTAAGAATTCTAAAAAAAATAAAAACATGTGTTTTTTTTGAATAATCGACACAGGTTGAAGAATAGTTTGTTAAATTGTTTTTGGGTTTTCATGCCATTTTCTGAAAAAAATAAGGGTCGAAGAACAATGAATTGCTGTTGGATTATGAATGCTTATTGCTTTTTTTAAATAACCCCACTAGAAAAACTTGGTATTAAAGAATTACACCAGCCCTGAATCAGCTATTTGACTAGTTGGATTGAATCAAAGTGAACGGTGTATTTGCTAAGCATGATCCCGTTGGTTGAGCCCCTGATTCACACTGGCGACGGCCAAGCGACGGTGCAAAAACGCCAGTGCGCTGCATTGGTATCGACCTCGCAGAGAGTGTTACAAGCGCAAGCCCCGTGGGCTTTCCATGTACATTGCACATACTATACTAATACTGCGATATATTATATATAGTTTTGGGCTATATGTAGTGTATACTCCCATTTATATATAGTTATATTTGGGCCATTCGGCATCATTCCGAATTGCCCTTTGACAAGCAGCCCGGAAAAGCCTGAGGAAAAGGAACACCTTGCTGCTAAGAAACTTATTTTCTGAAAAAAAAAACCTATGGACCACCTGAGGAAAAACCTGAAAAACTTTGGCATCCTGATTTTCTCATGAAATGTTTCCAACCCACAGAGATCATCTGGGTTGCATCGCTGCATCCCTGCGCTTGAGCTTGTGGTTTTTATTCGCCTGGCTAGACACCACGAATTTTCCCTCGGGATTGACGCAGCACAACACGACACCTCCAATTGGGGATGGTTGTTTATTCCATGTCAATTCCGGGGTACCCTCTGGTAATTTGTTACATAGCTACTGAAAATGGTGATTTATAGTGGATTTACCCATTGAAAATGGTGATTTTCCATAGTTTTTTGTATGTTTACCAGAGGGTAAATTGGGGATGAGATGGGATGAGTTACCGTGGGATTTACCACATGGCCGGGAAACAATCAATGCAACTTCCCACTAAAAATTCCTCTGTATGTCCACCCGCTGGGAAGAACTAGCAACTTTTGGATGACAACTGGCAAAGAAGCTGGGAAACTTCACAGTCTAGGTTTCAGGAGAACAGTGGAAAACAATTGCGAACCATTTGGCATTCAAAACCTGCAACCAGCTGATCACTTTTGTTAGGCCCCAATCCAGTGAAACACTGGCCGGCCACCACAGTGACTCGTCGTCGTCACAAGGCCCCTGACATGAAGACCCAAATGCTCACTGATGCCGCCAGAGGCCTGCGGTTTTGCCACACCAAATGCTAAGTTTGACCAACACCCCCATAAGTTGAACCCCACAAAGGTAACTGGTTTTTTCCTTGTGGTTGGTGGTTCATAAGCCCTGACCAGACCCTTGTTATTGGGGCTTACCCTTGCGCAGGGTGGTTGAGGTTGAATTCCAATTATCTTTTATATACATATATATATATGTATTTGTATTATATTGTCTTCATATGGAATTTCGCATGATCCTTGCAGATGCGGAAAGCAACACCAGTCTGAAAAAGCAACACAAATCTGAATCAATCCAGACTGTATATTTTATCTGGAACGTATAACCCAGTTGCCTGTATTTTTCTAGACTAACCATGATTACTGTACATTACTGTCATTACACATCATTGCAGCAATCCATATCAGTTATATATAATATGTCAAAATTAAATGAATGATTATATAATACTATTATGCATATATATATACATATAAAGTAATATCACACACACATATATGTGTTAATAAAATAAAATAAAATATAATATAATATAGTATAATCTAATAATATATAATATCATATATAATATAATATAATATAATATAATTTCATATAATATAATATAATATAATTTCATGACACATAATATAATTTAATAAAATATATATAATATATAATACATAACATACTATAAAATATGTAATATAATATAATATAATTTCATATATATATATATATCTGAATCTTTGCCAAGTGTTCCTCCATCATCTCTGATAGCACCTCAGCACCACCCATCGATCCTCGCCTGCGGCGGTGTTAGCGTACCTTGAGCGATTGAGAGCGACTGGCATCATATCACGCGGACAGGAGGTGTGGATTGCACAAATCCTACTGGCAAGTTGGATTAGTTTAAAAGAAAAACCACTTTGTAAGTAATCAGTAGTAAACAAGTATCCGTTTCCCATCCGTAAATTTGGGGATGTCCAACTGCCTAAGTGTCCAATTCTGTTGGAACATCACATGAAAAGGACCACAATCAACCAGCAAAACTACGACATCTGGGAATAGGATGGATTGGATCAAGGGATCATCAGCATGGGGATTCAACAAAAAACAAACCGGTCAGGTGCACCCGGCCCAACGAATTTTTGGCTTGAGGTTTCTTTTGAAACCAATAAGGGCTCACTAGTCGCGTCTATTTTATATCTATTTTATATTGGGGTCACCTTGATTGAATCCTCGACATTCATACAGGTCATCAAGCTTCACCTGAGGATTTTGGAAGGGGTGGTACTACGGAATGACTATTTTGTGAGTCCAAACCATTCCTTCATATAAACAAATTTCAGTCTTTGAAGATCACCTATTCCAGCCGGAAGAAGGTAGGACACAAGGAAAACAACCCAAAGATTGGAAACATGCTTGCGAACATCTTCTCACCAGGAGGTATTTGGATTTGCCCCAAACAAATGCTGGAAGTACCCCGATATCCATGATTATTTCAATGGAAAAGTGATGAATCGCTGGATTTATTTTGACGGCAACCCATTCTTGAACAACCCACATACCCAAGATGTTCGATTTTATTCCCATCATAAATATTCCAATGTATCCCATAAACTGATTGGTCAGCATCTTCATTTGTGTGGCTATATGTCTGAGTATGTTCTGGCTACATTCCACCATACTCAATTCAATTGCATTACCATTAGATCCCCACTATAAACTCTCATAAGCTGCTTGGTTTTACAACTAATTGCTTAATGTCACTCAGGACCGTTTCTTCTCCCGGATCGCAACATCCCCCAGTATATTCACAGTGTATAATTCTGGTCAGTTTCATCCAATTTCTTGGAGATATAACCACTAAACCGTCACTAGATCATCCTAGACCTACATGTTTCTAGGCACTAAAGGTGCTCCCCCCAGGTCTTATTATCCCCCCCCATGGATTTTTTCATCCCATCACCGGTATCCCCATTTGGCCGCCATGGGTAGCCCTGGTATCCCCAGCCCCCCGGCGGTGCAAGGTACCCACCAGGGCCGTCTCATCCTGGTGCCGCGCAGCGCCTGAGATTTCCGCCACCCGGTCTTCGATCTTCAGAATCAAGGCGCGCCTCGGTGAAGCTCACAGGGGATCACCGTCAAGCGTTGAACATTCCAGCAATGGAACCACGAACCAATATATATATATATATGCCATATAAGATTATATAGGTAATTATTAGTTATCATATGTTATCATTATTTATAGGCAAATTTTATCATATTGTCTCATATTGTTATATATAATGTATTTTTTTCTGAAGCTGCCGCTACGGAACGCCATTGGTTTTTCAAGGAACATCTCAGCTATAAAATGCTATGAATATCTATAAATATGACCGGGGGGAAGCTCTGGGTATGCCTATAATTTGCCATTGCCAGATCTCTGAACTTGGCATGTCGGTCCTGAAAAAACGAAGTCAATGGCGATTTTTCTGTCTGTGTCAAATGGGGGAATCATTTAAAAACCTCGGACACCAGCAGCCACACATAGCCAGGTTGGATATATATAAGCCCAGAGGATCCCAAAGGTGGGGCCGGGTGGGTTAGCTCCCAGGGTAAGAAAAGCTGGTGGCAGAGTCGATGGGACGCCAAGTCCCAAGTCCCGAAACAAGTCATGTTCAGAGAGTATCAGTGAAGCCGTTGCTATGAATATCACAATAAGACAGCCCAGGTTTTTCATGGTTTTTACATCCCTGACCGGTTGTCCCAAGGCACTGCTCAGCCGTCCAGCGTGGATCCTCGGGCTCCAGGGGTGCGCGTAGCTTGGTCTGGAAGTTGCAGCGCTCCTGGGACCGTGGGACACCAATTTAAGGCTTTGGGAAGTAAATTGGGAAGTTAATACACACATATATATAATATAATATAAAATAAAATAATATAATATAATATATATATATAATAATATAATATAATCATCCTTTCAATGGATTTTAGTCAATCTTCCAAAGTAAGGAGAGTCCGAGGGTGATTTTTGGGAAAATCATCCATGGTTATATTTTATAAATGGATTATTCTCACTTTCACACGGGTTACCAGCAGACATTCCGAGTGCAGCAACAGAAAGGTGAATTATATTGATATATGATGATTTGTGTACTCCCCGTTAATGTAATCTGGTAGGCTGGAACCCCCTTCATGTTTAGTTGGGCAACCATTTATCCATGGCTTTTCTTCCAGCCAGCTTAGACTACCAAAGAGAATACAACCGAACACAAGATCCATGCCCAACGGATAGACGGTCCCATGCTGCATCCCCGTTGCTGCTGATGAACTCTCCATTAGAGTCATTTCATTTCATTTCATTTCATTTCATGTCTTGCGCCCTGCGTGCCCGTAATGGCACCTCGGCGCAAAGTTCTTTGCAATTTACAGATCTAGTTTGGTGAAAAAGGTGTGAAAATAAGCAGAAAGCTAGAATCAAAAGGGCAACGGGACAAGGATGGCAAACATCAAGATCTTCAGCTCAAAATCTCCACATCATCATCGGAATCGTCGGAAATAACAATAGCAGGAAGTGCTGGCATATTTCTCTGCTGTCTCCTCAAGCGCTTACGGAAATACTTCTCAGCAGCTTTGGTCACTGACTTCAGCAATATGTTTTTCATACATTCCTTCCATATGTTCGGTATGCGGTCTTGCGTGCCCATCTCACTGTGGATGCTTTGTTGCACTGCCAAGGTGTTCTTCGCAACTAGTTGCCATGCCAGATTTTGCTGATTTGTTGACAAGTTGTTCAGAGAATTCAACATATTGAAAAGAGAGTTGTGCTGAATATGACGTAGTGAATCACCAGGGAAAAGAGATAGGATTTTTGCAAAAGAAAGTCGTCTCTGTTCTGCAGCTCTTACACAGGAAGACAGAGCATGTTGTTCATCCCCAAGGACCCTAAGCCCCAAAGACCGTTTGCATGCTTGAGAAAACCGTTGTTCTCGTTGTTGCCGGATGTACCTGCCAGTCTCTACTTCCAACAAGTGAGAGGACAACAAGAAATTGTTCAGCGAGCGGCCGCAAAGCATACCCAATGATAGCGCAGTAGGTCGAGGGGATTCAAAAGTAGGAATTGCGTGTACAAGAAAACTGTACTTGCCGGAACGAAGAGTCCTCAACATATCTTGCTCAGCAATGTTGTTACAGCGTTCACGAAAAATTGGAAACCAATGCCTTGCTTGAGGCGCGGTCCAATTCAAAACATTGTCACGTCCTCCCATCTGATCTAACAAGTCAATTCGTTTGAAAAAGGAAACCATATCAAAAGCCCATCCGTTGTCATGCAATCTGCAACATTGCTTCCACTGTTCCCAAGCTGCTTTTTCCATAACATCTCCATGTTCCAGAATAGAAATCAAAAACTTGAAGGCTTGAACTGCGGCAAGGACCCAAATGGGATACAGCCCCACAAGCCATAACATGGCCTCAAGCTTTGTTCGGGTGTGTGCCCTAGTGAGAATACGCAATGACTTGGCGTCACTTTTGTCAAGTCTGTATGCCCGACGCCATCCCCAAATGTCAGCACCAAGCAAAGCAAGAGACCGAACTTTTGTAGAGTACAGCGTGGTTCTCATCTCATTGGTCATCATCGGATGTTCGAGGAAAAGTTGTATAAGAGAGCCCCCAGCTACCTCCACCCGCTCAGCATTAACTTCCCATTGCTTTTGGTATCCATCGGCTTCTACATGGAAACCAAGGTATTTGGCCCAATTCCGGCCGGTTTCAAAAATATTCCCACGGTTGCCGTGGAGGACCCACTTGTTGTTTTCCTGAGGTCGTTGGGAGCGAAAAACTGTTAGTTCAGTTTTAGGGTATGAAATACGCAACCCGTCTTCTTCTGAAGTCCTCTCAATGATGTCAAACTGTTCCTGCAAACCCAGGTTTCCAGTATTGGCAGTCAACAAATCGTCCGCATACATAAGCAAGTGCACGGGAATATTTCCAGGAAAGACAACAATACCGGAGCGTATTGTTTGCAAGTTTTCTGCAAGACCAAAATCAACATACAATGTGGCAAGTTCCGGAGACCACCCTGATCCTTGGGGAACACCAACCAAGACCTTAATAGACTCACCGCGAGTTGTATGAGAAGTGACCTTAACCGAATGAGTTTGCATTAACTCCTTCCAAAGCATTATGATATGGTCAAGAATCCCAGCTGTCTGCATTTTGTGAAAAAGACGTTCTTGGCGAAGAGTATCAAAAAATTGTTCGAAGTCCACGAGCAAGAGTCCACATGCATAATTTCTAGATTCTGTGCCTGTTCGCGGCCATAAAGCTGCAAACAGGGTTGCCAAAAGAATGAAAATCCGGCCAGTTGTTCGTTTGCATTGCTTGAACCCGCCCTGATAGGCGCCTGCAGTCCAAAAAGGCTTCATCAGGATGGAACCAAGTTTTTCCACCTGTTTGCGTAAGACACTCATAAGGCTCAGTTTCCTGAATTCATTGTGTGTATGACCTTGTTTCCCAGGTTTGAGAATAGGCTTTATCAAAGAACCACGATGGTGTCTAGGAAGTACAGCAAATTTACCTATCAATCGCAGTAAGTTGTCAAGATCGACGCGTGATTCATCGCAAAGACCACGGAGCAAGCGTAGCCATTCTTCACACCATCCATCCTCCCCCATAGCTTTTCCATTACGTAATTTCCAGAGCTGGTTTGACTGGATGACTTCGTCTGGTACATCATGGGGTGGCGCAGTGAATGCCCGCAACTCCGCTTCCCAAATTTTGGATTCCAATTCATTATGAGGAAACCCTGTTTGCGAAACTTGGCGAAGACCATCTTCAATCATATCCAAAGTAGGTTTGTCAAGAGCATGGTTCACATGTTTAGCTGTCAGTTTTCTCCACATAGCTGCAAACCTTTGTCCCGAAGCTAAAGCACTAATTGTATCCCAATCTCCTTGTTGTTTCTTTCTCTTGTCTCTAGCGTAGCTAATTTTTGCAGCTTTCCTGGCGGCAAGCATGTCAATGTAAAGGCTGTTGTTGACATCGACTGGTGCATTTGCAGTTGATCTTCACCATCTCATTTTCAAGGAGCGAAACCGTCTTTCCAATTGCTTGGTTTGCCATGACTTGTCCTTCATTTGGTTGTTGCTGTTTGTCATCTGCATGTTTGACACACTTTGCCACCTAACAGCACTAAGTTTTTCAACTGCAGCCAGCCATTGTGAAGCCGCCTGTTCCGCAGTGACTCGGTCTCCATGCGCAAGTTGTGAAATCATGTTACGTGAAGCTTCTATTATATCAGAGTTTCCCAAATATTCTACCCGCAAGTTTTCCATGGCCTGTGGATCTGCTGCAACTCGCAAAATGTTCGACCGTCGCATTTTCCATGGAGGCTTCAACTTCTGAATGGAGCTTTGAATGAAGTTATATTGCGCGCAATCAGTGGCACGGCGAGAAACAAGAAAAGGAAAAACCAGACTAATGCGGGCATGGTCAGAGTCAAGGACTGGTCCATCTACCTTTCCATCGAAACTGTTTTCCAAAACCCATTCCGTTCCAAGCCAAGTATCACAATTCGACCGCCCTTGTGTTGCAAAATATGTGCACGAATTGGGTAAACATCGACCATTCAAAACCCACAAGCTGCCAGCCCGAGCCCATGAAATGATTTCATCCCCGTTGCCATTGACCACTTTGTCTTGGTTTGGTTCGCGCTGCTTGGTAAACAAAGTTGTTTCCAAATCTTCATCGATATGCTCATCAAAAATCAGCTTCCCATCATTCAAATCTCCGACGCGTGCATTAGTATCACCAAGGAGCAATACCTCCCCGAAATCAGAAAGTTTCTTCAACAAGGCCGGCATCTGATCTACAATGTCGTTTCTTTCAAGCAAAGCTTCCCTGGACAGAGTGCCAGAAGGAGGAAAATAGACACCAATCAAAAAGAGTTTCCGATTCTCATTCGAAATTTCCAGAACCAAGGTCCCTTTAATGTCAATGTCCAGCTGCTGCGTTATATGCAAATATTTCCGGTGAACTAGCCAAGCTATCCCGCCAGCTTTCCCTGCATTCCTATCTTTCCGAAAAATGTGGTAGTGGGATAGCGGTCGAAACAGCCATCTGCCTTTCGACTGCGTCTCCGACAAAAAGACAAAATCATGTTGCAAAACTTCGCTTGCAACCTCATGCTTGTTTAATTTTTTCTGAATTCCTCCTGCGATGTTCCATCCCAAAATCCGAATTGTTTGCCACCCTTGCCCCTGAGGCGTTTCCTAGGTCGTGGTTTTCAAGGCTTCCTTGAGCCCTGATTCATTCTTGATACGGTGTTGTGGGATCACCCAGTTCACTTCCCATGTGCTGTTGTCTCTCTCAGCCACCGTGTTCCCATGCACCTTGATTTGACCTTCCTTCTTGAAAAGCTTGACTTCCTTTCTGTCTCCTTCCCATTGCTTCCTAACCTCCCCAAAAGCAGCCTTGAGCTGCTTATTTTTCTTTAGGTCAAGCTCTGTCTCCGCATGGACCGAGGAAAACATCAAGTCCGACCCATCACTAGCCGAACTCACAAAGAACTGCACTCATATAGAGCTTTTTCGCAAGAAGAGTGGGGAAGGTCTCATTGTTCAAATAGATGCCGGGGATTTTCAATTCCCTGGACTTATTCACGGCATTTTGGCGGTCAGAAACTGACGCAAAAGTCAAAATTGCTTTTCCCAGACCTTCCCCACTCTTCTTGCGAAAAAGCTCTATATGAGTGCAGTTCTTTGTGAGTTCGGCTAGTGATGGGTCGGACTTGATGTTTTCCTCGGTCCATGTTGAGGTAAAGCCATCCAACTTGGCTTTGCATTTCACATCCTCAATCATCTTTTGGTGGATGAAATCCTGAAAGGCATCGTTTCTTGTTTTGAGTTCCTGGAGGTGGCTTTCAACTTCTGCTTTCACGTTATCTTTAATGATTCTGTCTTGCTCTTCTTTGAACTCTTCCAACTCCTCCTTTGTCACCATGTTACCTTTGATTGCGGCAAGATCCTCTTTCATCTCACTCATGTCCATAGTAATGGTTGACATCATCCTTCCAAGATCCTTTAATGTAACCTCATCATCTGCCCTTTCTCCTTTGTGATGTTTGCCTGCATCTGGTTTACTAGGGGAAGACATGGGCCCTCGCCTCGCCATTGTCAATTGAGAAAGCGAGCAATAAACACTTGAGCAATAAACACTTGTCTAGAGTCATTAGACCTCGTTAAGTCCCTATCTATTACACAGTATTCCCCCCAAACCAGTATACGACCTACTAACAATCCTTCTTCATCCCATTCATCATATTTCATAATCCATAATTCAATATCATTAACATTCATTAACCATTACAACCATCAATCCCGTATTAAAATACCATGAAAATAACCTATGAAAACAATCCAGTGATGGGATCCGGGTGTCCTTTCTCTGGAGTATCCTGGGCTCGTGGTGAAGGTAACATGGATATCATGGACGGATGAAAAAGGAGCACGCTAAAAAGAAACGTGGATATATGTGGAGATGGTCGTTTGTCCGAAAATTTTGAATATACCATGATATACCATGATATACCCATATACCACCAAATTGGCGTGTTTTTTTTGGGGGGAGGCCGGGGCGTACCATGATCCAAAGTTTCAGCTGGCAACAAATGTGGAGAAAGCCATATGGTTTGGCAGGGGGAAGCGCTGGCTCACTGGTTCAAAAGGATGTACTGATGTACATGTTTTATTATGTTTTATTCCTTTTACGTCTTGATATGTATATGTACATATATATATATTATATATATATATGTATGTAAATGTACAGTCGGACAGTTGATGCAATGTGAGTTTTTAATGTCCCATACATTGATCATTTTATGGATGTTAAACCCACTGGTGGACTTCACGGTCCATCAACTGGGGCCCAGCAAAAAATGCTTCGTACAACGCCTGACTATAGCCAGTGGTTTAGACCGGATACTGCATATGCTGAAGAATAGCCATTGGAATTATATGGAATTATTATGTATATCGTGGTATCTCATCGTATTTCATGGTATATCATGGTATATCATGGTACATGTAGAGCTGGATGGGCTTAAAGCGCTGTCTCCAACTGCCAGGCAACATGTGCATGAGCATCTGACACTCCGCTGGCTGCAGGAATTGCGACCTCACTAGGGCAGGGCTAATAGGACACTTGGGACAAGTATGGAAACAAGTTGTGAAATCATGGTTTTACTGAGTTGTTTTTGTCTCCCAAATTACGACACAACCACGGCTTCAGTGAAGATGCTGGACAAAGTGAGACAGCAGGGATAAACTTGTAGGTGCATTGCACAGCAAGTCTCGCATGAAAGGATCAACAGACTCATTCCTGAACCATTTACCTAGTGGCAAGTGTGAATATGATGGCTGATTGTTGCTTGAAGCCATCCCCCAAAAAACATATAATGATTTCAGGATCATTCAGGATAATTAATTATTCATCTGTCATCCAAAAAAGAGGCCAAACATGAAGACTGTTTGAAACCACTAGGTAGCTGTGGACTGGACTCAGGGTAACCCTCTGCATGCCATTGTCACCCCTATGAAAAATTCAGTGAGCTCAATTTTTTCCGAACAGAGGCGGCCAACGCAGCTCAAACTCTAGAGTCACTGAGTTAAGTGCAACCCAGTTTCATCATCCCAAAAAAGGGTACCCTCTGGTAAACTAACATAGCTATAGAAAATTGCCATTTATAGTGGATTTACCCATAAAAAATGGTGATTTTCCATGGTTATGTTACATCACAAAAAGAGGCAGTGATAACGTGATATGATTGGGTCGTGATGAGTCCCCATCATCCAGCAATATGGATACCTCGAAACAACATGCATTTCAGACTTAAAATATACCAACATATGAGGGGTTTTATGCGTGTCCCCAAAGGCTAAAATTTTATACATGTTTGACCCGTAGCAGTACGAAACCATGAACTGGCATACTCCCACTTCAATCAGTTTATCTCAAATGGAACCCATTATCATTATCTGGTTGGTGGTATACCTACCCTTCTGAAAAATATGAAAGTCAGATTGGATCATCATCCCAACTATTGGGGAAAATAAAATTCATGTTCAAACCACCAAATGGAATGAGGGAATGATCCATAATCACTAGTAATAATCATCCCATTCCCCCATTCCCATCCGTTCCCTGCTAAGCACCAGTAAGATTATAAGCTGATTGAGGATATTGACAACTGGTAGCTGTTCTCAAATATCTCTATTGTGGAACCCACTATCACCTATCATTATCCATCACTATCTGGTTGGTGGTATACCTACCCTTCTGAAAAATATGAAAGTCAGATTGGATCATCATCCCAACTATTGGGGAACATAAAATTCATGTTCCAAACCACCAAATGGGATGAGGGAATGATCCATAATCACTAGTAATCATCATCCCATTCCCCCATTCCCATCCGTTCCCTGCTAAGCACCAGTAAGATTATAAGCTGATTGAGGATATTGACAACTGGTAGCTGTTCTCAAATATCTCTATTGTGGAACCCACTATCACCTATCATTATCCATCACTATCTGGTTGGTGGTTTAGGTCTACCCTTCTGAAAAATATGAAAGTCAGATTGGATCATCATCCCAACTATTGGGGAACATAAAATTCATGTTCCAAACCACCAAATGGAATGAGGGAATGATCCATAATCACTAGTAATAATCATCCCATTCCCCCATTCCCATCCGTTCCCTGCTAAGCACCAGTAAGATTATAAGCTGATTGAGGATATTGACAACTGGTAGCTGTTCTCAAATATCTCTACTGTGGAACCCACTATCACCTATCATTATCTATCACTATCTGGTTGGTGGTATACCTACCCTTCTGAAAAATATGAAAGTCAGATTGGATCATCATCCCAACTATTGGGACATAAAATTCATGTTCCAAACCACCAAATGGAATGAGGGAATGAATCCATAATCACTAGTAATCATCATCCCTTCCCCCATTCCCATCCGTTCCCTGCCCTAAGCACCAGTAAGATTATAAGCTGATGAGGATCTTGGGGAACACTGGTAGCTGTTCTCAAATATCTCTGCACTGTGGAACCGCCTATCACTATCTTATCCAATCACTATCTGGTTGGTGGAATACCTACCCTCTGAAAATATGAACAGTCAGATTGGATCATCAATCCAACTATTGGGGAACATAAATTCATGTTCCAAACCACCAAATGGAATGAGGGATGTCCTATCACTGTACTAATCATCCCATTCCCCCATTCCCATCCGTCTCCCTTCTAGCACCATAAGATTATAAAAGCTGACTTGAGGATCTTGAACACTGGTAGTCTTTCTCAAATATTCTCTCACTGTTGAACCCAACATACCTCTCATTATCTTCACTCTCTGGTTGGTGGTTTAGGTCTACCCTTCTGAACATATAAAGGTCAGATTGGAATCAATCATCCCAACTATTGGGGAACATAAAATTCATGTTCCAAACCACCAAATGGAATGAGGGAATGATCCATAATCACTAGTAATAATCATCCCATTCCCCCATTCCCATCCGTTCCCTGCTAAGCACCAGTAAGATTATAAGCTGATTGAGGATATTGACAACTGGTAGCTGTTCTCAAATATCTCTACTGTGGAACCCACTATCACCTATCATTATCTATCACTATCTGGTTGGTGGTTTAGGTCTACCCTTCTGAAAAATATGAAAGTCAGATTGGATCATCATCCCAACTATTGGGGAACATAAAATTCATGTTCCAAACCACCAAATGGAATGAGGGAATGATCCATAATCACTAGTAATAATCATCCCATTCCCCCCATTCCCATCCGTTCCCTGCTAAGCACCAGTAAGATTATAAGCTGATTGAGGATATTGACAACTGGTAGCTGTTCTCAAATATCTCTACTGTGGAACCCACTATCACCTATCATTATCTATCACTATCTGGTTGGTGGTTTAGGTCTACCCTTCTGAAAAATATGAAAGTCAGATTGGATCATCATCCCAACTATTGGGGAACATAAAATTCATGTTCCAAACCACCAAATGGAATGAGGGAATGATCCATAATCACTAGTAATAATCATCCCATTCCCCCATTCCCATCCGTTCCCTGCTAAGCACCAGTAAGATTATAAGCTGATTGAGGATATTGACAACTGGTAGCTGTTCTCAAATATCTCTACTGTGGAACCCACTATCACCTATCATTATCTATCACTATCTGGTTGGTGGTATACCTACCCTTCTGAAAAATATGAAAGTCAGATTGGATCATCATCCCAACTATTGGGGAACATAAAATTCATGTTCCAAACCGCCAAATGGAATGAGGGAATGATCCATAATCACTAGTAATAATCATCCCATTCCCCCATTCCCATCCGTTCCCTGCTAAGCACCAGTAAGATTATAAGCTGATTGAGGATATTGACAACTGGTAGCTGTTCTCAAATCTCTACTGTGGAACCCACTATCACCTATCATTATCTATCACTATCTGGTTGGTGGTATACCTACCCTTCTGAAAAATATGAAAGTCAGATTGGATCATCATCCCAACTATTGGGAACATAAAATTCATGTTCCAAACCGCCAAATGGAATGAGGGAATGATCCATAATCACTAGTAATAATCATCCTCATTCCCCCATTCCCATCCGTTCCCTGCTAAGCACCAGTAAGATTATAAGCTGATTGAGGATATTGACAACTGGTAGCTGTTCTCAAATATCTCTACTGTGGAACCCACTATCACCTATCATTATCTATCACTATCTGGTTGGTGGTATACCTACCCTTCTGAAAAATATGAAAGTCAGATTGGATCATCATCCCAACTATTGGGGAACATAAAATTCATGTTCCAAACCACCAAATGGAATGAGGGAATGATCCATAATCACTAGTAATCATCATCCCATTCCCCCATTCCCATCCGTTCCCTGCTAAGCACCAGTAAGATTATAAGCTGATTGAGGATATTGACAACTGGTAGCTGTTCTCAAATATCTCTACTGTGGAACCCACTATCACCTATCATTATCTATCACTATCTGGTTGGTGGTTTAGGTCTACCCTTCTGAAAAATATGAAAGTCAGTTCGTCAGATTGGATCATCCCTACGTTCAGCACCAGTACCCTCTGGTAATTTAACATAGCTATTGAAAATCACCATTTTTCATGGGAAAACTCACTATAAATGGCCATTTTCAATAGCTATTTTGACATAACCAGAGGGTAAGTCAGATTATCCTCACTCCCCTGGTCCCAGCGGTCCCAGCTGCTGCAGGTAGATCCGGGGTTTCCTGGAAATCATCCGCAGTGGCCCGATGCCGGAGCCAACGCAGCCAACGGAGCCAACGGAGCCCACGGACGGAGCCGTTTTCGCCCCTTGGGCCTGGACAAACGTGGCGCCTGGAAGATCTCAGGAGTTTCTGCATCTTTTTGTGGAATCAATGGATTGGTTTAAGGGAAATTTTGCAGGAACGCCCCATCTTTCATGGGAAAAATTGGGACAATCTATGGTTTCCGGATGTTTCCGGTTAAGATTTTCCCTTAAATCCAACCCATTGAATAAACAGTTGCAATCATGAACAGTTGTGATAAGTGTGAACTATCTCAATGATGATGCTGATAGTATTTATATACACCGAGCCAAATATCTATGATTATGTCTATGTATTATATGATATTGATATTCTATGTATATATATAATGTGTATGAGTATGAGCTATTATTATGTTTCATTCAACCGACTGCATTGGCCAAAGGGTGAAAAAACATTTGCCAAGTTGGAACAAGCTGCACCTTTAACCTCAGACTTAGGATATACCCTCTGGTAAACTAACATAACTATGGAAAATCACCATTTTTAATGGCTAAATCCACTATATATAGATCACCATTTTCAAATATTTTCAATAGCAAACTGTGAATGTTTACCAGCGGGTACCCTACCGCCAATCATTCAAGATCTTCCATCCCAGTCCCGCAACGTCGACCACAAGGTAGATAGATCTTGAAGGTTGTGGCCCCTGAACAGGCTATGTCTATCCCCAAACCTCATGGCTTTGTCGTAACTGGACTCAAGGCCGGAGGTACGCCCGGTCCACGCCATCTATATATATAGTGGGATGATTCCTGAACTTACTAAGTGATTACGCTGATTGCAGAGTAGCTTACCATCCCAAACCTGCATGCCTGATGGATCGTGTCCAGGAAGCTTCTGGTGTGCTTTAGAACTTTAACATTAGGAAAATGGGTTAACCTTTCACTTTGACCCTCAGACTTTTGTATCAAATAGAGTGGTTGAAACAATTCCCAAGACTCCCAAAGAGAACTAAGAAAACGGTGGAATTCGATGTGCGGCCATGGTGATCATTATGTTTTCCCCTTTTTCAGGCACCCGTCAAGCAGCAGCGCGCCGTCTTGCGAAACACGGGGTGCGATAGCTGGAAGGAGGCCGGGGGTCCTGGCAGCAGCCCTGGACTCAAAGCCATGGCTGGCTGGAAAATTCCACATTTGTATCATGTATTATCATGTTGTATATATATATATATATATACGATATCAACGATATCCATCGAATACATCTACAGTAATTTATTTTCATTATTTCTTCCGTTGGAACTTTCCAAAGCTTACAATTTTTACCATCCCACTTGCAGAATAATTTTTGAAGGGATGTGAATGAGGAGCTGTTGATTGAACATGTTTGATTACTGCAGGGCAGGCCACAAGGTGAACATGATGACATGGTAAAGGGAAGGTTGACATGTTCGGTTTAGCAGCGTTGGATTTCATGGTGTGCGTGTTATAAATGTCATATACGGACTTTGCGACAGTGTTTGTTTTATACCCTCTGGTTATTTAACATAGCCATGGTATAGATGGCCCATAGAAATAGATCGTTTACAGTACCGTTCTTAAAAATGGTGGATCTTTGCACGGCAAACTGTTTGTCATAACCCTTTGTTTTAAACATCTTTTGGGAGGTTTGAGGCCATGCCGATACCACCTGTGCATCTCAAATTGGAAGATACCACCAATTTCAACCCCACATCTGATATTGGAAAGGACATGGTGGCGCCCCCCCACTTAGGTTTGTGAGTGTATAAGCCCAATTGACTACATGTCTATTCTATATATACTATATACACATCTTTAATTTATCCACAACAAACTCCAATAAACCATAGGCAACCTAGTTGTAGACCAACTTAGCTATGTAGCGGCCCCACCTTGAAGGTATTGATACCCGCCTCCGTTGCACACGCCTGCGGCGGACCCTTGAAGATCATTGAAGATCTCTATGCTTCAACTTGGGCCACATGTCAATTCGACCATAAAAAACGCCATCGAATATGTGGTCGAAATTTCCGCCCATTGGGCGGAAATTGTGACCATCCACACATAGGGGAACACGTGTTTTTTTCTGGATGGCCCTGCAGGCATGTCTTGCTCACTGGCCATTTGAACAAAAACACCACATTTACCACAAGAACCAATCCAAAATCGCAATTTGAAAATCAGTCATGAGTAGATGATTCGCATCTTTAACATGGTTATTTTTGAATGCCATGTCCGGGTGTCCCAGTGGTCTTGATCTGTGCAGCCTATTCCTTGATATCTCCCAGCTCCAAGGAGCAACAGGCCCTTTCCAAACTTTGGTTCAACATATACAGAAAGTCAATGAAAATCATCCATATTTGGGATGGTCAAAATTCTTTGTTTTCCCATGTGGAATAAATAAATATATATATATATATACTGTATATTATGAATATACATGTTTTCCTCTAGACCCTGTTCATCCAGCGGTTTCCCAGCGGCGCTAAACGCAGCGGGTTTCGCCGCCTATGGCGGGGGACTTTTCTTCAAAGTGCCGCTGCCAATCACGGAAGGCCTTGTCGACTGCCTCCCGCACCTCCGCATTTCGCGAAATCCAAGGAGAGGAAAAACTATAAAACCAGGACTCTACAGGAAACCATGGCTTTGACCGTTCAAATCTGTTAAAATATCTAGGGGGTCCTAAAGATTCTCCATTCAAACAGGTTTAGGAACATTGGATATGGGCCAATATGTGCACATATATCTGAATCATTCATATATTTGAATAGTTTTAAAAGGGTATATAAAATCTGTCCACATTATTGGAAGTACCATCATGTACCATCTAGATTTGAATTCTGACTAGTTGGCGGGTCACCCTATTGGTAAACATCCTTTATTGAAATATGGCTAGAAATTCTCCAATGTTAGTTGGAAAATAATCGATCCATTGACTTTCCTACAGGATCAAGTCACACTTTTTGACCCCTTGGAGAATGGTACGGCTTCAAATAATCCAAGCGCCTATGCAATTTAGACCTCTGTTTGGATTTCAATGGGCCATGAAAAATGGCCTCAGATGGGTGAAAACGATGATTTATCCGATGAACATATGCAGATTTAAGTCGCAAAAAAGGCGACAAACTGATGGGATATTATGTCGGCACCAAAACGTGTTTATGGTCTGGATTACAAAATTTGCCCCCAAACATCCTAAACAAAGGCCACACATCAGCAATGTTCTGGTCAATAGGCCAATGCTTGGCTATGCTTGGCTTATTTGCAGTAAATCCCAGGAACCAATTGGACAATTTTGGAACCCTGATCTGTAAAAATTGCTTAAACATATACCCATTTGGCTAACCTTAGAAACTTTTTTTTTAAAGTTGCGCTGGCTATATCTGGGCATGAAATCGTCCCAACCCAGTGCCCGGCCCGGTGAAGATGGGTAGTAGTAACCTTATATATATATATATATCTATATTCATGTATGTATCTGTTGTCTGTTTGCGGTAAGGGTCAATCATTGCAGAAAGTGGATCATTGAAAAGTTGATCTCAAAAATGAGACTGTAATGGTTTTGCTCCAGTCAACATGATGAAACGGATACGAAGTATCATTATACTGCGAACAATTCCGTTGCAACCCTGGTACAGTAATGGATTTCTGAGAAAGCATCTTTTTTCAAGCTGGGCCACGGCCGTGATTGCCAACGAGTCTTCTTCTACAGTAGATAATTCGGTTCCAAAGTGGCTTATCATCCAGACAGGGATTCTACCCTATAGCAGCTTCTGACATGGACAGTCCGCATTTGTAGTCGGAAAAACGCGTTCCCAGGAAGTGAACTACACTCGGTGGATTTTTCAGAATATGTTATTCCACTTGGTCGTTCATGCCACTTAGTAGGTTATATCCCTGCTTCAAAGTGGAATAGGCAGGCTCAATATGCTTACTCATAACTAGGATTGTAACATACTAAAATATGGTGTAATGTGGGTAAAACAATGCCATTTGCACCATCCCCCAGCCATCACCATTTTTATGTGGTATGTATGACCAATTCCCAGTCATGGGTGGTTTATGGCATTGTTTTACCCACAACATTAACCCACTTACTATACAGCTGGAAAATCCCTATCACCCGACTGGAAAAATCCTCTTTTTCTCAGAGCTCTAAACCTCGATACAGCTGCGCCTCGGTTGCTGACATCACATGCCTTGCTGGACGGCCCCCAAAAAGCAAGCGATATTGTTCTGCTGGGATTATCCCAACATGGGATTATATAACAACATCTGGAAAATTATGGGAGAATAATCAATTGATACCAACCATAATCCCATAATTCTTCTCCATGGTGCTGGAATATTTACCAACATTAGGGCCTAATTTTGGGGTGAATGTTGGTGAATATTCCAGCACCAACCATATGGACATGATGATCATGTTTGTGTTTTTTCAGTCTCTTGTAGGATGACCCTATTTTGCTTAGAACCCAGCGGCTGGTGAACATCAATCTCGTGGTAATCGTGGTATGTGGATGTTCATCCCACCAAATAGAAATTTAGAGTTTTTCCAGGTTTTTGCTGGTAAAGCATCACTGCATCACCATATTTTTTCTCGTTGGTTGCGAGAAAAGACATGCAAAAAAACGGCCCCGGAGCTGGAGAACTTGGAGAACGCTTCCTCCATGACATTCCAGTCGGCTTACCTTGTGCCAGTTGGAATTCTCATATTAGAATTCCACCTTGGATCAAGCTTTGATCAATTCCCCATTTACAGTTAAGACTATCCTGCTCGAAGCAATTCAATCACAGAATTGGTCGGAGGGAAAAAATCAACCGGAAACTGCATGAAACACCTATATGGTGCTCAAAAGAGCAACTTTTCGGTAGGTTTTGCCAGCAACGTATAACAAAACCAATCCGATGAATCGTGTTGGTGGTTTCAACTCCCAAATCCTTTCCATATGTGGGTCATTGCCATTAAAGACAATGACCACCTCCTCAGGTCACCCAGAAATGTTGGGGCTTAAATCCCAACACAAATCAAAGGCCATAGGGGGTTGAATCCCCACCAACTATGTAGCCTCTGGTTATGACTAACATAGCCATGGAAAATCCCAACCATAAATGGAGGTTTCTAGATGGGAAAATCATCTATTTCTATGGGCCATCTATACCATGGCTATGTGACAAATAACCAGAGGGTATATCTTTTCTCCAGTGTTGTTGACTATCTGTATATGGCTATTCTATCCCCAGTATATCAGGGGCAACCGACCAGGTCATCTTAGCTCCCCTTTGGAAAAAATGCTAATATCTTTGGCTCGTCGGTGGCCGTATCCCATGTACAGCTAAAGATCTAAAATTCTAGGAAGTACTAAAGAAGCCAAGGTTTTGCCTAGGATAAATAGCGTTGATTCAGAATCCCTTCACATGAAAACACAAATTTTGACCCACATATCAGTAGAAATTGGGATGGCAGCCCCATATTTGAGCCTAATTTGTTGTTAATTCTATTTAGATGAATCCCAATTTCTTGCGGTATCCAACCATATTCAACCATCTTCCACCATCAAACAGCGTTGAATCCCCATTTTTAACCTTACCAGGCCCAAACCATACAGTGGATGGTTGCGAAATCCTGCACCAGTTGAAAGCGGTGGTAAGCATCCCATTATCTAGGATGGGTTTCAACATGTTTCAACCATCCTTTTGGGTTTCTTTTTTGGATTCCATAGGCTTTCAACATGTTTCCCAGAAAAAAATATTAACAGGATATTCCCAGTATATTCTCAGTCATAGATATATATATATATTCCCATCAACATCCTCCAGTCTTTCTACTTAGATGGTCAACATCCAATCTAGGTGGTACAGGATTTCATCCAATCGCAACCACCAAGGGCCAAGAAACTCCAACTTCTTCACCAACTGTTGGATGTCTTCCAGGTCTCGTCGCCCCACATCCGCCAGGTCCAGAGACATGGTGGACAGGGCCCGGGCACCTGGGGAAGGGCGGGGTCCCCGCCCCCCCAAAAAAGGCGGAAAATCCCAAGGTCATGACATTCCAAGATGGTTTAGTGTCATATGAAATCCAATTGGAATTCGAAGTGTTTTTTTTAAATATAGTAAAGTCATATGAAGTTGATCCTTTGTTCCATGCACTAAGCCATTGGTGAAAATCCACTTCTAGTAGAATTATGATATGTGATAGTGATCGTTTATACTTTTCTCGATCTTGTTTGGAGGTTGCAAGAAAGTAAATCTAGAAATCACTGGTACCCCGAAAGGATCTTGAACTGACTTTCCCATTTGCACAGCACCTTTTTCTCGCTCATAGCTCATCGATCCTTGACTTCTATTTTTCCAACAATGTTGGGCGCCCCCAAATGCATCGGTGTTAAGATCGGAACCTCATATGTACCCTTCGGTAATCAACAGTTTCAATGGGAAATCCCCCGAAAAATGAAGGTTTAAATATGGCCGGTGGCCAGCCGCGTGCGAAGATTTCCTGATATGTCATGGAGTTCGGGGAGCCGCTAATCTGGGACACATCTTCAGAATACGCCAAAGAATCGAGGTATCTCATGGTATATCTCCTAAATGTCGCTTGGAATTGTACTACCAATGAAAGCAAAGTTCCTGTGTCACTTCATGTCACTTCAAACTATATTGAGCTGAAATGGGCTTGGAAAAATACATTTTTTTCCCCAACTGTATCCCTCGTGCAACGAGAACACTCAAGAAATCCAGGTGCCGCAGGAACTGCATTCTGTATTATTTAAGCATCCCAGGGAAACGCAAGGATTCCAAACATACGTAACAGACCTTTAAACAAATTCAACAACCATTCACAACAAATCTTTGAAGCCACTCTCATTTCACATGAGCAGTGGCAAATCCCTCACAGGTACCCTCTGGTACTTTGTCACATAGCTATTGCAAATGGCTATGAAAATAGTTGATTTACATCGTAAAAATGGTGGACCTTTCCATAGCAAACTGTTGGTTTACCAGTTACCAGAGGGTATATCCATGAATATCCCAGTAGCCCATCATTATCCCATTATCATCCCTCCCTATTAAACATTGTGAAGTTTGCAGCTGCAACTTGAGCACATGGGTCTTTACAGACATTTCACCTTGTTTCCGCCGCTGTTTCCAATCACAGTGGTGGGCAGCTAAAGCCATTTGACGGCAACGCATAGCGGTGCTTCTCGGAAAAGCATTGCAGCGCTTAGGCGCACTTTCCGTTGGGTTTGGACTTCGTGGGCCATAACCTCCAACTTGACATTAGTAGCGGAGCCGGCCTGGCCCTACCTTGTCTTGCACCTTTTGGCCTTGTGCTGGCCCTTGGTGGACATCGCCTTCTTGCTGCTGCTCATTGGCCCTGTGCAGGCCTTGCTCTGGCTTTTGATCTGGCCTTGTGCTGGCCTCGCTTCTTTGCGCTTTTGATCTGGCCCTGGGCAGGCCACGCTGCATACAGGTCCTGAGCAGGCCTTGACTCTCTGCATTGCTGTTCTAGGCCCTGTGCTGGCCTCTTGCTGTTCTACCTGGACAAGCTCTGGTGTGGTGGCAACTACGTGCCTGGTGATTGACTGCCCGGCCTACTACCTGGTCTACATCCCCTTCACTGCCTGAGGCAATGTCGGCTGGAACTGGATCGGCGAGTGCCGCCGGAGACTACAACACCACGAAGGACTCCTACATCCCCCTGTTCAGCGGTGCACCCTCCGACTACAAGGAATGGAGGAAGAGGATCAACATCTATGTGATGAAGATGAGGGTCGCCAAACGAGAACCTGAAGGACTCCTGAGCATCATCGGAAGCCTCACTGGCACAGCATGGAAGCTCCTTGAGAACTTCCCCATCGACGAGATCGAGAAAGCGGGAGCCTTTGAGAAGATGTTGAAGACGCTCGACAAAGCCTTTGAGTATGACCGGACGGTCCAGCTTCCGAATGACTTCGACAGGTACTTCAGCCAACTCCAACTTCGACCTGGTCAGACCCTCTTGGAGTACACGACCGAGCACGACCACCTCTACAGCAAGCTGGCTGACCATGATGTGACACTTCCATCAAAGGTCCAAGGATGGCATCTGCTCCGAAGAGCTGGCCTTAGCAAAGAGCAGAAGCAATTGGTGACCACCCAGGCGCCCAACATGGAGCGGAACAAAGTTCAGGAAGCCCTCTTTCTCATCTTGGGACAAGACCACAAGACAGTAGCTGGTGGAGGACATCACCATGCCCAACACCGTGGTTTTCGCGGTAAGGGACGTGGCTATGCGGTCTACTATGAGGACGACAACCAGCATGAAGCTGATGATTGGGCTGATGACAACGACTATGACCATGACTATGAGGGAGGGTACTACGAAGATGATGCCTACTCCCAAGATCCATCGCCCACAGCTGCTGACAGCTACTATGATGAGACTTTTGAGGACTTCGACACCGATGCCGCGTACTACCAGACCTTGGAAGATGCAGATCCCTCTGAGCAGGCTGAAGAGTATGACTCAGCCTACGCATCGTACATCGATGCCCGCAGACGCTTCAACGAGATCAAGCTCAGCAGAGGATACCTGCCAATTGTGGCATTGACTGATGGAGGCAACCCGGCCTCACCATCTTCCTCCTTGTCACCGGTCTCTCCGGGACGCGGCAAGGGCAAGACCAAAGCAAAGAAAGGAAAGGGCAAAGGTAGCTCCACCCTGGTGAAATACCCTGCCAGGGGCAAAGGGAAAGAGCCCGATCCCAAAGGGAGGGCAAAAGCCAGTGGCAACACGCCTACCTGTTTGAGGTGTGGCCAAGTGGGGCAAATGACCTACAACTGCCCTGTGCCCAAAGCTGGTGGTGGTGCATCCAAGCGCAAGACGGCACCGACAGAAAGCACCGTCGGCGACGTGGAGCACGGCCATGTGATCTTCACGGACGACCATGGGTGCGAGCGCCATGACTGCGCAATGTTGGACCCTGGCGCAAGTGCCTTCTTGTCAGGGTACGGTCCCTTCTATCGCTACATGCTGAAGCTCAAGGAGACCGACTACGACATCACCAACATCAAGTTCATGCGTTGCAAACGCACCTTCTACTTTGGTGGTGACGCCAGCTTGGAGTGCACCTGGACTGTTCGCCTGCCCTTATGCATCGGTGGCAAGTACGGCTATGTGCAGATGTACCTGCTGCCTGGTGAAACCCCTATGCTGCTTGGAAGACCGATCATGGAATCCCTTGGATTGGTCCTGGACTGCCGCAGCCGCATGATCAAGCTCGACGACATGCCCTGGCAACATGCCGTGGTGGGTGCCCATGGAGAGTACCTCATCTCCCTGCAGAACGAGTTTGACTCCAGCATGTGGCAATTTCCACCTGCCTTTGAACTTGTTGTGCCTGCTGATGGAGGAGTTGCCGGAGAGCTCATGGACTTCCAGACCTTCAACGCTGAGGTCAAGCTCTTCAACTCCCAAGATGCTGTTCAAGCTGCAGCCCAAGATGACATGCGTCCGACGCGACGCCACTTGCTCCAGACCTGTGACACCAAGCTCACTGCCCTTGAGAACGAGCTCCACGCCTACATCACTGAAGAGCTGCATCAGCCTGAGCGCAAACGAGTGCTCTGGGAAGTCTACTGCGGTGGAGCACGCGTCTCAGCTCTTGCAGAAGCGATGGGCATGGATGTGGAGATCTTCAGCTACGAGACTGGCTGGGACTTCGACTTGCAGGAGCACCAGGACCTCTTCATGCAGAGGCTTCGAACAGAGATGCCGGATGAAGTCTATCTGGCACCTTCCTGTCACTTGTGGAGCCAGATGCAGAACCTGGCTGCTCGAACAGAAGCCCAGCAGCACCAGCTCTACCTCAAGAGGAAGGAGCACCACTCATGCCACTTGATGTTTGTGGCCCGGGTCTACAAGGAGCAAGTTGACAACGCGCGGCACGCGCACATCGAGCAGCCCGAACGAGCTCTTAGCTGGCACACAGCAGCCTTGAAGGATCTACCTGGCTATTGGATCCTCCTGCACCAGTGCATGTTTGGCTGTGCGTGTTTGGACCAGGACGGACTCTGGAAGCTTGTGAAGAAACCGACAGGCATTCTGTCGAGCAAGGTCTCCATGCAGGTCGCACTGGCAAAGCAGTGCGATGGGCAACACTTGCACTGTCCTTTGGAGGGATCGGCACCTGGACTTGGCCGACGCACCTCCTATTTAGAGGATTACCAACCTGGCCTTGCAGCCACAATTGCAGCTGCCATCAACGCCCCAGACCCAGCTCAGCTTTGGGACTATGGACTTGCAGTCGCTGAGCAGAAAGAGGTCGCTGGGTGCCTTGTGAAGCTCCAGACAGCCCTGAAGACCGAAGCAGTGCGCACCGTGCAGCGTCTGCACAGGAAGCTTGGGCATCCCAAACCTGAGGCTTTGGTTGAACTTCTTCAAAGCCGAGGAGCTAGCGATCAAGTGATTGAGGCAGCTCGCCACTTCCAATGCACTGCATGCCTGCGCTACAAGCGACCCAACCAGGTGGCACCTTCGACACTGCGAAACCAAGCCCATGAGGTTGGAGAACGTTTGCAGGCCGATGTGCTGTGGATCAAGTGCAATGTCAGTGCCAAGAAGTTCCCCGTTTTGAGCATCATCGACCAGGCCACGAAATACACCGTGGCGACGTTGCTTCATGGAGAACGTGGTGAACACCTGATCCACGGACTTGAACGAGCCTGGATCAGGCACTTTGGACTTCCTCAGTGCTTGTGCTCAGATGAAGGACGTGGATGGGTTGGTGAGGAGATGAATGCCTGGACAACCCAACACTCTGTGGAGCACATCGTTGCACCTGCTGAGTCTCATCGCTTGTCACTTGTGGAGCGCCGGCACACCACCTTGCGCAAAGCCATCGAGATCTACATGGACGACATGAAGGTCTCCGGAAGCAAAGGCATCCGGAAAGCGCTGACCTATGTGGTACCCCAGCTCAACGACACCTTGAGCGTTGCTGGCTACACGCCTTCACAGTGGCTGCTTGG